ATGTAATGCTAAAAATGTCTAAAAATTGCACAGTCATTTGGAGGCTTTGGCCGTTTGCTTAAGTCACCCCTTGTTTTATTAGTGTAACTAGTGTTCCCCTGTTACTTAGATTTCAAGGTAATTTCAAGGTTAGTGTTTGCCGTGGAAACAGCTCTAGTTCATTCTGAGACAGGGTTTCAGAGCTCAATTTGTTTAACATGTGTACTTGCCCACATTGATTCCTTTAAGCATCCTAAAATAAGTTCAAGTGGTTTTAAGTAATCAAAGATCTTTTGAAAAGCAAGGTTCATGAGAAACTAGTTATAAGTTTCTGAGAAACTAGTTTTTAAAAAGCACTGGAATTCGGTCTGAGGTGTCACTAAATCAACAAGGTATAATGGCTAAACGTTACCCAGTATTTTCTAGGACTTGGGTAAAGTCCTGGAGTAATTCTCTTCTATCACAGTAACCTTATTTCTGAGTTTTTTTGAAGAGCAAAATTATTATAATACTTCTTCATCCTAGGATGGAGGTGACTGTAGGAATCTCTTCTTTTAGGCATCCTTAGGTTCAGAACTGTCACTGTAATGAAAAACGCTGCCAGAAGAACTCTGTTCTGCCCACTTACAAAGGGAAAAATGATGCCCTTCTCACCCTTTTTCTTTCTAGCAGTTACTTTATACAAAGTATAACTTTATTTAATATGAGCTATCTAAACTTCTGATTTATTTGAAGAAGTTAGTGATGAATGTCTGTTAGAGCTTCCAATTTCTTTGATCATTTATCCTTTGTTATATTTCCAGAAGCAGCCAATAGGTAATGCTGTGGCTTCTTTGTCGATATCTGAAAATACTATGTGAATCTTGCATTGCAAGTAGTGCCCTGTCTAGAGGACTTAGATACTAAGTAGGTACCATCCACCCTCATTATTTGTAGATTCTGTATTTGCGAATTTGCCTACTCACTACAGTTTATTTGTGACACCAAAAATCAATATTCACGATGCTTTCACAGTCATTTGTGGACATGAGGATGCACAGAGTGGCAAAAAATCACTTGGCATGCACATTCCCATCTGAGGTCAAACAAAGTGACACTCTGCCTTCTTGTTTCAGCTCTCATACTGTAAACAAGTGTCCTTTTCATGGTCAATTTAGTGAAATATTTGGCTGTTGAAAATGGCCCCCAAGCATAGTGGCGAGGTACTGTCTAGTGTCGAAATGTGCCTTATGGAGAGCATATAGGTGTTAGATAAGCTTTGTTCAGGCATGGGTTTATGGTGCTGTTGGCTGTGAGTTCAGTGTTAATGAATCAACAATATATATTAAGTACATGTCTTTAAATAGAAATATACACATGAAAAGATTCTGTATTGATCAATTGACCAAAATGTTGTGACCAAAGCTTGCAGGAAGTTAACCCTGTGTTCCCCCTAGGGGCAGTGGTTCAGTATTTGTGATAACTTTATAGAACACAATTACAACAAATAATGAGAATGGACGTGTTTAGTTAAGGTGGTGATTTATAGAGACTTTAGGTATCTGAAATATTTCATAATTCCCTCTCTCTAAACCATTGTTTTAGGTTTGTTTAAATACATACATCCAGAGTTATTTATAATGTAAAATCTGATTTTACCATGGGTTCTGGTCAGGTTAAAAGTCATTGATTAACTTGTAAAGAAACTTTTCTAAACATTATCCTCTAGAAAATTAAAATGTACCTAAAACATATTGAGTGTTCAGTAAATATTTGTTTTATAGTAATAATCTTTGAGCATTGTAGTGATTCTGGTTTTGGAAAAGAAGCCAGTATTTGCCCCTCACCCTGCTCATGCGCACTTGCACATGCTTTCTCTCTCAAATAAATAAATAAAAATCTAAAAGAAGGAAGTGTGCATTTTTGGGGTTAATTTTTATTAACTTCTGCTGCATGACAGTTTCAAGTTTTAGATCAATTGTTTTGTAATGTGGGGCTTTATAAACTATTTTTAAAAAGGTTCTCTCCCCCTTATAAGAATACTTAGTTGATTCTGATTTCCTATTACTAATTGGATAAATGCTTATTATTTTAATTAGGTCATTAGCTTACTTAATAGATCATTATTAGAAAAAACTAATTTCCTAAAAATACTGGTTTTTTTTGTTTAAATTTGAGTTTATGAATACCAACAAAATGAAATTTTCATTTCCGTTTTCCATTCCCAAAATGGGTCAGAGAGCTCCAATCCAACATATATACTACTTGGACAAATTTTTATGTAAGTCTGTCAGATATTTTCAGCCTCTTCAAATACTCTGGGATTCCTAGAATCCGACTTTATATTGGCTGTGCTTTAAATCTGATTCTTCTACTTGGATTTACTATTTTTGATCAGGTCTATCTGTAAGAATCTGTATTATTTTGAAAGCTATTTATATGCAATGGTTGTAAATATGAGTCAGTTAACTTTATTGGCTTAAATTAAAGACGCTTTCTTCTCTGTTCCTCTCAATATAACGCTAAAGTTACACAATGATAGTGATTTGACTTTTTACTATTCCTAATTAGTAACAGAAGTGTTCACTGATGATCAGTACTAGTACTATTTTAGAAATGCCAGTCATAAACTTTCTGTTTGTTGATAGGCTACTTACCAATAGTCTCCTCCCTATTTTGCACATATTCTTTAGGATTAGTTTTATGACCTTTGTTCTTTCATTTTTTTCACATTGTAAGTTGCTCTTAATATGTCATTTAACCAGTTTTTATCTCTTTAAAATATGCTTGTTTGGTTGGCACACAAAGGGCAATTTGCTTGGGGTCTGCATTATTACAGGCAGTGACCCTAATTTCATGCTGTTCTATGCATAAACATCCAAGTGAAAAATGTCCTTATTAGTGTTAGGAGAACTAGACTTTAGATGCAGTTATTAAACCAAGTTTTTAATTCTTGGACGGAAACCTATAAATAGTGGATTTACCTTTATATACATTGGGATACTATATATATTCATTTGCGTAGGTCAGTGTTTTTCAACATGTTATTTTTAACATGCTTTTCTGTGATGTTTTCATAGTTTGTCTTTTACATATGTGAGTCAGTAAGATTTTGATGACCTTTATTTTCTGTAGTTTATTATTTTATTTTTTGTAGAAAACAACAGATATATTTAATGTGCTTTTTTTTTTAAACTCTACTTCCTGCCTCAGATAGAAATTTTGTTATTGTGCTTATCCGAGTTGTAAAGAATCACTTGACTTTTAAAAGCCACATTTAATATATATTGTATCATGATTTATTGATTATATTTGATCATCAAAATCTCATGAACCTAGTAAATTTTCTTTCCTCTCTCCCTAGAGGACTATTTCAAACCCCTTTCTTCATACTTCTAGCACCTCCTCTCCCAAGATCACTGATGATAATGGCGACGTTGCTTCCTACTTTAAAAAGAAAAGGAAAATAATGGAAGGAATGAGTAGGGAATTTCTAGACTTATAAAAATCCACCTGTTTCCAACTGTTTCCACATTGAGAAATATGGTAAAAAGAAATAAATATGAAGTACCTATAATACCACTCTTCTTTCCCATCTTTTACTATAAATGAAGTATATCCATTTTTTAAACTAAAACTAGTCCTTCCAATTTTGAACTCATTCTCATCATCCCCTTTTAATTACTTATGAATATCACTTCACCATTTCTTCTCTTTCTCGATTACATTATCCACTTTTTGTTTTGTGCTGGATCATTCTTGTCAGTATACCGATATACTGCTAGTTCTCCAATCTTAAAGAATAAAAAAATTTTCTCTTGTTTTCCCTACCAATTACCACTCCCTTTAGTTTGTTCGTTTTTGTAGCAAATTCCTAACTTGCTCGTACCCCTCATCTCTATTCTCTCTTCCTAGTCTCTTAAATCTACTTTAATCAGATTTCAACAAATAAAACTCCTGTTACTGGTGACTTCCATGTTACTGAATCCAGTGGTCAGTTCTTTCTCTTCATCCTACTTGATCTCATCAACAGTTGTCATTTTATACTTTCTCCTCCTGGGTATGCTTTCTTAAGGGCCTTGAGGATGTCACTCATTCCCAGTTCTCCTTGTTAATCATCTTTGTTGGTTACTCTTTCTCTCAGAATATTGGAGTGTCTCACAGCTCAGTCATTGGAACTCTTCTCTTTCTATATTTAACTTCTAGTTGTAATTAGAATCAAAAAAATCCCCCCCGACACTACAGCTTTTTTCTTAGAAAGTGTAGATTAGAGAAAATAAAATGAAATACTGCTATTTTAAAACTACCTTTCAGACTTTCAGACCCCATTTCAAAACTTGCAATGAGAACTATGGCCCTTTGGGGGATTCACCTCTAGTGGCAAGGGTTTGAAAAGTAAATAAGGCTGTTTTATCTGAAGACCATTGTGATATACTGTAATGGACTTATTCTTAGGACATGATAGAAGATGGATATTGTATTTCTTATATCTCATAAACCTTAAAGATATTTTTAGAAGGAATTTTATATGAGCTTGGGCAGTGTGTTGGCATTATTTTATGTAACCTCAAACATGTCGATATAGATATCTGCAAAGGACGAAATTTAAGAATGAGCATTATAAAAAGATTCTATATCAGATCAAATTTTAGAGTCTATAAAACATAAAAGCAAATGTGTTTGATACATAACATTTGAGAAATATGGTTAAAATTAAGTTTAAGGCACTTATAATACCACTGCCTAAATTTAGTTTATATTTTGAAATACTGTCTTCTAGTCTTTATGCGGTTTAAAAATCATGCTGTGATCATATAATTACCTGTATTTTGCCCTTAGCATAATACAAACATCCATGTTCTCACAATTTTTTAAAATGCACATCATGTTTAGGGATTGCACTATGTATATCCCATCTCATGGATTCCTTTGTCTTGAACATTTAGGTTTTGATTATTTTTATTTACATTTATTTTTATTTTTTGCTTTTGTGGATAAAGCTGCAGTGAGCATCCTTTGCATAATTTTTTTTTCTGTTTTAGGATTACTTCCTTAGGATAGATTGCCAGAAGTGGAGTTACTGGGTCAGAGGGTATGAACTTACGAACTTTTTTCCTTTTTTTAAAGAAAATAAAAATAATTTTTTTATTTGCGCTCCAGTTGATTTATATTCATTGTGAAAAATGAAAATCATAATGATTATACTTGGTACCTGTCAGAAAACCATGTCTTAAGGCAAGGTTCTATGATCAGAGAAGTTTGGGAAATTCCTACAGTATAAAAGCCTCTTTATCTTGGTTTACCTCAGTATTTCCTGAACTTAACTGATCATTGAATAGTTTTTTATGATATACTTCATAACATTTTCTGGAAGTTTTATAAAAGATAAAGTTTATGAACCGATCTAAAACTGAATATCATTTTATTGGTTAAATTATGTTTTATTGGTGAAAGCAACTAAATTATAAAGTTTCATTCTAAAATTATTTTTTAAAATATTAAAATAAAGCTGTTTACTATTTCATTTTTGTGTATGTCTTTATAAAGTCTCAATTTTTACATTTTAAACTTTCTATTGATTCCTAAAGAACATCTCAATAGCATCAGATACTTTTTACAGTCTTTAGTGAAATGTGGAATATAGACATAGAACATAAAAGTGGAAGATAATGTAGATTGTACAAACCTTTTTTTCCCCCCCCATTTTTCCCTACAGAATGTGAAATCCTTTGCATCTTCTGATAGTCTAGCTAAGGTCCAAGAAGTAGCAAGCTGGCTTTTGGAAATGAATCAGGAACTGCTCTCTGTGGGCAGCAAAAGACGACGAACTGGAGGTTCTCTGAGAGGTAACCCTTCCTCAAGCCAGGCAGATGAGGAACAGATGAATCGTGTGGTTGAGGAGGAACAGCAGCAGCAGCAGCAGCAGCTCAGACAACAAGAGGAGGGGCACACTGCAAGGAATGGTGAGGTCGTCGGAGCAGAACCTAGACCTGGAGACCAAAATGATTCCCAGCAAGGACAGTTGGAAGAAAACAATAATCGATTCATTTCGGTAGATGAGGACTCCTCGGGAAACCAAGAAGAGCAAGAAGAAGATGAAGAACATGCTGGTGAACAAGATGAGGAGGATGAAGAGGAAGAGGAAATGGACCAGGAGAGTGATGATTTTGATCAATCTGATGACAGTAGCAGGGAAGATGAACATACACATAGTAACAGTGTCACAAACTCCACTAGTATTGTGGACCTGCCTATTCACCAGCTCTCCTCCCCATTCTATACAAAGACAACAAAAGTGAGTATATTTAGTCTGCTGTTCCTGAGACATTTACCTGTCCATATTAATTGGAATGAAACTTTCCTCACAGTCATTGTTATTGCTGCAAAATTAATCTTCAGATGTGTAATAATAAAATGAACTAAGTTTTGTTTTACGGAAGGTATTAGAAATAAAAGTACTGGTAATGGGATAATGTTACTACAAATAGAGGGAAAGTAATTGATCCTATTACTGTGAAAAATCATTAATATCAAATTTTATTATAAATTTTATCCCTGTGACAGGGGTTAGTAGTTTGTGTGCAGTAGAGAGGGTTGGAGAGAAATATGATTTATGTAAATCAAGTAGTAAGGAATCTTGTCTTATTTACAAAATGCAGGTGGTTGGGGTGGGCTGTGCATTCGCAGGTGTTACTCCAAGGTAGAAGTTACTGTCCGGTTTCTGCCACTACTTCCCTTATTTGCAGTTTTTTGTTTTCCTTCCCATTCCTAGGAGACAGGTCTGTTGTATGTGCCTCCTTACCTCATTCAGCTAGTGGTAGCCCCTGGAGTTAGCCATAGACATGTGTTTTGTTTTTGTTTTTAGTGAGAGAGAGTGTGGACGTGTGTGCAGCCAGGTGTGTTGGGGGGAGGGGCAGAGAGAGGGAGAAAGAGAATCTTAAGCAGGTTCCATGCCCAGCGTGGAGCCCAACACCGGGACTTGATCTCATGACCCTGAGATCATTCCCTGAGCTCAGTCAAGAGTTGGATGCTTAACTGACTGAGCCACCCAGGCATCTCTTAGCCATAGGCCTATTTTAAAAGGTGGATAGTTAGACTCCTGTCTAAACCAGAGACATCTTATCAACTCCAGGACTTGGTGATAAATCTAGTGCTGAGAAAAACAATTCTGTTGGATATAGTCCTTTGAAGCTATACCAGAGAATAAGGACTGGAATATACTATCACTGCTTCCCAGTGTTGTCTTTGTTACTAGATAGGCAGGAAGGTCCTGAAACGTTGAAGTCTGTCTGAAATGGAAGGAGGAAGTGATTGGGCAACTGCAGTAAAGTTGAAATTGCCAGGGCTTGTTCTTTGGGATGGCATGTGGGCTTCTTTCCTCAAAATATTCTTGGGAGCTATATCTCTTAAAATTATGGTTATGACAAGAGGTGGGGATTGTAGAGAAAAAGAAGTAGCATTATTTCTCTCACTCCCCAGTCTTTCTATTGTATTCTTCTCTGCCCTCACCCCCCCATCAAATTATAGTCAAAATGAAATGATATAGTGCTCGGGCTTTGCTTCGAAATAATCCTGAAGGGGAGAGAAGGAAAGAGGGTATAGATTTGCCATGAGTTGCTGATTGTTGAAGCTGGGTTGCAGAATGGGGGTGGTTCATGGGTATTTTTCTGTGTGGTTTTTAAAGTATGTTTAAAATATTCCATAATCGAAACATTTTTAAGTTGTAAAGAATGTGAATACACACATACAGACCCCAGAAAATGATAATAAAGGTTGGAAATAGGAGTTTTCTTTACATAGCTTGGTCTTGTTGACTAGGTCCTAATTAAGTCAAGTAAGTGCTGACTTCTCTACATTGAATTTTATTTTCTCTGTATTTTGGTGCTATTGAAATTACAGGAAATTCAATACAACATCATGTACTTTTCGCTGGAGTTAGAATTTATTTTAATCAATATTTTAGGCAGTCTAAAAGAGGAGAAAAAGTAAAAAGAATTATACTCAGAATGAATGAGGTATTATGTAGCACAACTTCTATCCTTTTTTTCCCCCTCAGGCTTCTATGCTCATAGATCTTTATGTTTGCATGCTTTTTGGTTCTTTATCATTTTAAAATTAGATAAAAATCATGAATATCCACGTAGAGTAGACTTATAAGTTAAACAGTTCTTTGGAATGGAACATTTTAATTCAAATAATAGCTTATTTTATAGACATTGAAATAATGTCCATAGTAGTTTGTCCTCTTACTCTTATTTGCTTATTTTTAAATTTTACAGTGAATCATCAATTTAGCCCATAAACAACATACAAACAGATGTAACGTCATCTCCTTTAATGTAACCTGACCTGGAATAAAAAATCTCAGATGCTAGGTTTAATACTTGAATTGCTTTTATCATTTTTGCTTAAGGTTGTGAAACTTAAAACTCTTTCTAAAACATGTTTATCCCTAATTTCCCTAGCCTGTCTGCAAGTTTAGATTTTATTTAGTTGGTTTGATCTAAGAAGAAGCTGGCTTCAGTAGTGGTTTATATCCATTCTACCATCTCTGTCTCAAGGTGTTGAAGCAGTGCTTTGAATCTCAGCCAGATGGCTCTACCAGTAATAGCTACAGCCCTGCTTTGTTGGTAAGGCTAAGACCTTTTATAATGCAATCCACCCAGCTTTTGTCCCCCAGTCTCTTGGTGTCTCTCCCTCAAGGTTACTACGTGAAAAGAGGGGGTTTATGTCTTTTTTTTTTCTGAGGGTTCAGGTTGGGGAATGGGGTTTAGTATTTTATTGCATTATCTTATTTAAGAAAGAAGTTTAATCAAAACTAAGCCTTGTTGAACAATGCAAAACTCTCAGTGAGTTCTGCTATATTTTAAATTAAAAACAAGAAAGCCATCTAGACAAAACATCTTTTTCCAAAAGGAGAAGTCATCAGATTGTTCTGTAGGAAAACTACCAGTACAAAGGTCTGACAGATGCTCTATCGTTTTTTCTTCCCCCTTCAAGATGAAACTGTAAACAGAACTTTTAGATATGTCTTATACCGTTATCTGGTTACCTCCTTAAAAACAAAGTAACAGTTTTAAGTCAGTTTTTTCTAGTGTCTTTTGAGTCATAAATGCAAATTGTTGTGCTGTACATACAAGGCTGCAGAAGTGGACTGAGTACTAGTGACGGCAGGGAGAGATGTATATATGTGCGTAGGTGTTTATGTGTGTACACATATGTATGTTATGTATGTATGCTTGTGCTCACACTTGATGTACTGTCTATCTTGAGGTCATTTTCCTGCACAAAAATGGCAAGAAGAATATAAACTAATTGACGGCCAAGGCAACAATGCCCTTCCATAAAGTAGTATTTCAAGTTGAAATTGGCCCATTTTCCTTTTTCTCTGTTCCTGGATCTCTTCTTTAGGATTATTCCCAGAGTACTTTATTTTTTCAACCACATTAAAGATGTCACCTCTTACTTCATTGCTTATAAAGAAAATGTCAGTCACCCATATATATAAATCTTTTTAATGTAGTAAATAAGGAAGAGCTCTCATTATTTCAAAGACTTTATTTTGGAGCAGCTTTAAATTCTTGATCATTATAAACATAAAACACTTCTCCAGACGTTACCCTAGGCCACAATTTCTTTTAAGTCTTCTTAAACTGTGAGTTTTGAGAAGAGTAGAGGTATAAGAATCATTTAAAAATATCCCTTTTTTTCATGTTAATATGGGATTAGCCATAGTTTTACCCAACATAGCTTTCAAGTGTTATTTTATTTTATTTTTTGGCAGTTTCTTAAACATTCCCTGTGGACAGCTATACTTATTTATTGGTCATTCCTGAACATGCTGTTTCTCAAATATGATATTGAGAAAAAAGATTTTTTAATCCTTCCTTGCATTGATCTTTTCTTTGAAAACATATTGAAACTATCAAAACTCTTTGGACAATCTTTTTCCCTCTAGTCACCAAAGATTTGTTCATATGGGAGGCTATGCAATAATATGCATTAGAAATTTCAGACCATCTTAATGTTAAAAGTCAAGGGTACTGGCAGTCAGGAATTGGTATTTATTAAGCCCATACTGTTTGCAAGTCCCTCTGATGGGTAAGTAAGTAGAAGTTACAGAGAGGCCAAATAATTCACCCCAAAATCACACTGTAAGTGACCAGAGATTTTAATCCAGATCTGCCTAATTTCAAAAAAAAAAACACCCTTTCTTTCCATGTGCTATGCTGCCCCCTATGGTAGAATTTGGCAAACATTACTACGTAAGATTTTCTGCAGAACTCCAGGCAGGTCTGTCTGGGTTCTAGACTGTGGAGTGTGATGGCTTTCTAATACTGTGTCACATTTTAAATCATCAGAGCTACCCTTTAGAAGGGGTATAGAGGGCTCAGTTAAGTGCTTTTCTGTGTGGTAGCTAGCAAAGATTAATTGAAGATATGAAGGCTCAAGGCTAAAATTGGAACAAGAAGAAATGACAGTGAAATTTGAGATCAGAGAACAGATATCACCTTTTCGAGAGTACATCAAACGTGCTTCTTAACCAGGAGTTGTGTGCTGGCTATTTCTGTGTATTTGACTAGTCTGCCTACAAATTATAAAGTCCACTTGCTTCCTCTAATAGGAATTCCCATCTTTTCAGTCTTAATTCCCTCTGTACAAGCCTTATCATATTAAAAAAGTTCTTGTTTTCTGAAGAGATGCCCAGCCCATACATAAGACTCCTTTTATGTTTAATGCAGAGTGGCAACTCATTTTCTGCTAAAATGAAAAGCAGATAAGATTACTGTTAGGCCAATAGTAATATTAGATCATTCTGATCTTTTCACGAAGAGAACTATGTTTGAACACCAATTTCTGCTTTTTCCATGTCTCTCTTGTTGCCTTCCATCTTTCTCACATAGTTTCATTCCTTACATCAAATCAGTCAATTTTTTTTTCCCATCCCGATTGTTAGATTTCTCCTGGCAACTCAACAGCTTTTTTATCCTTTTTTTGAGTCAAGTAAGAAATAAATGTCTATTAAAATAGACAAAAGTCTAAGGCTTTTTCTTGTTTCTAGGTTCTAAACAACAGAGAAATTAGGCACAAGGATCACTAGCTAATCAGGGGATCAGAATAACAGTTGTGTGTCTAGTCCAGCATCCTCCAACCACTCCCTTGCACCAGAGCTCCTGGGGAACTTTGTAGGACAATGTGGCTAACATCTGAAGTCTAACAGGCTCTAAATTCTACTCTGTTGTAGGTAGAGTGGTGGCTGCTTCAGCAGTCCCTCACCTTGTCTTGTTCTTGTTA